CCCGGGCGGGGGTCGGCGGGCGGGCCCCTCTGCCGCCCCAGGCGCCGGGGTCCCCAGGTCCCTTCCCTGCTCCTTGGGAACCTGGCGCTGCCCCACTCGCTGCTCCCCTACCCGCTCCCCCACCCCCACCTCTTCCCTACCTTCTTGACCCCTGGACTGTCCTCCAGCCCCAAACTGCTTCCCACCCGGGCAGCCCGGGGCTCTAGGTCCTTGTGAATCCCGGGTTCGCCCATTCTAGTCCTGGACCCCAGGCCTCCGCCTCTGGGGTCCAGCTCTCTCTCCTCCAGCTCTCTGTGTCCCAGGGAGCAAGCGAGGACACCGGTCTCCCACCGTGGGCCTCCTTCCCTGTCCCCAAATTCTTGCAGGCCAACTCTGCAGGCCAGAGCAGATGGGATCCCAGTGTGTGTGAGCCCGTGTGAGGAGATGGGGACTGACACCCTAGGGCTAGGTGTGAGTGGGGGTGGACACCTGAGCCCTGGTGCCTGGCCTGCCCCAGGGGACAGCCTCTCCCTGCCCTGTCTCTGTCCTTCTGGCTCCTTCTGGCCGCTGCTGAATCCTCATTCTCCTCTATCCATCCCTCCTGCCGCTGTCTCCCGCTCCCCCTCCCCCTCCTGGTTTCCCTCCCCACCTCCTCCCATCTCTGATACCCCACTAATCTCTTCTCTGGATCTGTGTCTACCACCACCTGTCTGTGTCCCTCCGCCTAGGTCTGACTGTCTCCCCAGGCCCGGGCCAGCCCCTCGCCTCAGGTTCACTCATCTAGGGGGTGAGGGTGACCCAGGCCCAGGTCCTCCCCTTTCAGCACCTGCCCTTTGGGAGAAGTAGAGGCTTGTGAAACTCCACTGACCCTTTTCTAGAAGGTTCCTCCTGATGAGACCCTCAGGGTCCTCCTCACTCCCTCCTATTCCCTGCCCCTTTCATCTTCTTCCCCACCCTATGGCCCTGCCTTGAACCCTTGACTCTCCCCTAGACCCTAAGACCCTATCGAGTAACCCCAGTTTTCTGCCACCTTCCTACCTGCCTCTGGCTGGCAGGGTGTGGAAGAGGCTCAATTCGCCCTGCCCCAGATGTCATTCTGCTGGGTCACTGCAGTATTGGCCCCTCGGTCATGCTGCTCCCTCCCCAGGGCCGGCCCAGCCAGTCTGCTCTCCACCTCTGGGTCTTCCTCCTTTCCTCAAGGTCACTCACTGGCAGTGTGGTATTACGGAAAGACCACTGGGCTGGAAGTCCCTTCCACTGCTCTTCATCAGTCTGGCCTTCCGTCCCTGTGACCGCAGACCCCGGCCTCTCCCACCCCTCCCCTAGAGATCTGCCCCTAGCTGGCCAGGGCTCATCCATTTCAGCTTGGCCCCCAGTGGGGCCAGTTGTGGCCAACAGGGGCTCTAATCTGGACACACAGAGCCCTCATGAGGCCTCTCGAGCCTGGCTCTTCAGCCCACTAGGGAACTGAGGCCCGTGCCCATCCCACTGGAGTTCGTGGTTCTTCCTTCCCCCACTGCATGGCCTTCCCCAGGGTGCCACATACCATACGGAGGCCTGGGCCTCAGAGCTGGGGTGCTCAGGTGCCTCCCCACCCCCAGACAGCCCTTCGGCGCCAGTGAATGTCACCGTCAGGCACCTCAAGGCCAACTCTGCAGTGGTGAGCTGGGATGTGCTGGAGGATGAGGTTGTCATCGGCTTCGCCATCTCTCAGCAGGTAACCCTCCAGGGCCCCTGGGAGAGAGGGCTGAGACCGAGGTGGAGGGGAGGAGTGCAAAGAAGTAGAAAGCAAAGGGAATAGGGAACAGGAGAGCCCCGCAGAAAATTGCAGTTGGGGCTGCTGGGGGGTGGCGGGTGCCCAGAAGGAATCAGCCAGGGAGGGCGGGCTCTGGAGCCTTGGGTTGGAGGCAGGGATGAAGGGCTTGGTTTTTGATCTTAAACAGGCCTGAGTTTAGGACCTGGCCTGTTCCCACTGGATGTGTGGCCTTGGGCAACTTCTCTGGGAGTGAGGTGCCCGTCCAGACCCTCCTCGGAACCTGTGTCCCCCTGTGAGGTGGAGATGCCCGCCGCAGAGGTGACAGGCTGGGGGAGGTTCACTGGGGGGCACTGAGAACGCCTGTTGGCCCTTGCAGAAGAAGGACGTGAGGATGCTGCGCTTCATCCAGGAGGTGAACACCACCACCCGCTCGTGCGCCCTGTGGGACCTGGAGGAGGACACGGAGTACATTGTGCACGTGCAGGCCATCTCCATTCAGGGCCAGAGCCCGGCGAGCGAGCCCGTGCTCTTCAAGACGCCGCGCGAGGCCGAGAAGATGGCCTCCAAGAACAAAGGCAGGCGGTGGCCTGAGGTGGGGGGGACCTGGGCGCTGGAGGGGCGTGGGGCCAGAGGCTGGAGGCTGCTGCCGCACCTCCTGCTGCCCGGCAGAGTGGAGGCATTCAGGCCCCAAACAAGGGCAGATGAGCTCTGGACTTTGCGTCAAGTCCTGTGGCTGCCATCCCAAGGAGCCAACGGCATGTTCTAGAATCTATGCTAGCGGCGGGCATCTGTGGAATAAACACCTGCTCTCATGGGCTTGGCCCTGAGGGTGGTGTGGGCAGGGGCGGAGCCAGGACCTAGTGTCACTCTCCCCGCAGATGAGGTGACCATGAAGGAGATGGGGAGGAACCAGCAGCTGCGCACGGGCGAGGTGTTGATCATTGTGGTGGTCCTGTTCATGTGGGCCGGTGAGTCACCCCCCCCCAGCCTCACCCCTTAGCCTCCGGAGGTGGGGTCCCATCCTCCCACCTGATGGAAGAGGTGGGCGGTCTGTAAGCCCTGCCAGGGACAGTGGGGGTGGGGATGGATGTGCCCTTCCCCACCAGAAAAATGGCATGTGGAGAGGCCTCGTAGGCCCCGTGAGGACCTGCCCTCCGCCTCCCTCAGGGGTGGCTGGGGCTCGAGGTGGACACAGCTACGGCTCTTTGCCCCGGCTCCTTCCTCTCCTGCCATGCTGTGCCCCAGGTGCTGGAGGCCTGGGCGGCTGCGTCCCAGGAGGGAAGTCACGAGGGCGTGAGGCTGGGGGGAGCCTGGGTCTGGCCCCAGGGCCTCGGACAGGCCAGAGCTCTAGGAGAAGGGTGCTTGGGACGGGGGTGGTGGGGTATGAGGGTTCTTGGGCACGTAGAGAAACAGGCACTTGAGGAAAAAAACAGGAAACACAAAGGATCGTGCTGAAGAGGGGCCTTGCGCCGGCTGTTAGGAGACTTGGCACAGACGGTGTGCGCACAGGCCTCACGATGGCAACGCAGTGATGAACCCACAGTTGTGGTGTGTTGCTGTAGGGACGATGGGCAGGAAGTAGGGGGTGTTAGGATTTATCTACCACGGTGAGACATCATCAGCTAATATCTAAAACAGACTGTTGAGAAGTGGCATCAAGGATAGAGATAAAGAAGGTCCAGAAACGCCTGCAAGAATTGGGGTTGGCTGCCTCTGAAAAAAATACTATGTTCGTGCATTATTAGTCTGTTGACAGCAAACAGGAGCAGGGTGCAGGCCCTGGCTCCAGGGCTGTGTGCCCTGGAGGACGTTGCCTAAGCTCTCTGTGTGTCTGTCCAGGGTGACGATGGTGTCCTCAGAGGGGCGAGGGTCCGTGACGCGGACGTCAGTGCCAGCACCGGGCCTGGCATGTGCTCTGCCCAAGTGCTTGTTTCTGTTGCCCCTCATGGAAAACAAAACTGGCAGACGTGCAAGGGAGGGGAAGAGACGTGACCAGCGTGTGCTGTGGGAAGGGGTTGTGGGGAGGGGACAAAGGCTGCCATGGCCTGGCCCAGCCCAGCCCAGCCCAGCCCAGCGCAGGTCGCTCAGCTGGAGCTTCACAAGTGCTGCAGGGAGTGAGCCTTGAGCCGCTCCTGCGCTCTGACTGCTCCCACCCCTGCCCAGGCGTCATCGCCCTCTTCTGCCGCCAGTATGACATTATCAAGGACAACGAACCCAACAACAACAAGGAAAAAACCAAGAGTGCGTCTGAAACAAGCACCCCAGAGCACCAGGGCGGCGGCCTTCTCCGCAGCAAGGTGAGGCCGCCCCAGGCTGGGCGGGTAGCACCGCCTGGGCACACCGGGGGTCTCTGGACGGAAGGGGCAGCAGGGCCTGGCGCGCCTGCAGCGGGACAGGGCCAAGCTTGGTGCTGCTCGAGGAACAAGGGACATTGCCTGTTGGTTTGACATCCACCTGTGCAGGTGCCGGGGTCACTGGGGTAGAAAGGAAGAGTGGGGCGGGGGCGTGCCAAGTGGGGGTGTGGCAGCAGAGCCTGGCGTCGCCTCTCTGTAACTTCATTTCCTCTCCTAAAAACAGATATGAAACCCTTCCCTGCTTTCTCTGAGTAACTCAGAAGAACAGTAGAGAATGTGAGAGGATCTCACGGTTCGGAGGACGATCATCCCACAAACATCTGGCCTTCTACATGCCGCCTCCTGCCATCTTCACCCCGATACTATCCTCTCCCTTGGCTTCTCTTTCTGGCGCATTTTCCTGAAGCCTCTTATTAACCCCCATCTCCAGAAGCACCTCAACATGTTGGTGACTGAGGCTGCAGTCAGAGGCAGGTCAGCGGGACGGAGGAACCGCAGCGGGATGGCTCTGTGGGAGCGCTGAGTCCCGGGGCCGTGGGCCCAGGACGCCTCGTGGCATCGTGGTCCTTCGGTGAGCGAGGCGGAAGGCTGGGCTCGAGAAGGCAGAGGCAAGGAATCCAGGCGGACTGCTGTTCCTTCCAGGCTGGGTGAGAGCCTGGCCTTCAGGCCCAGCCTTGCCACCGCCCCTTCCTGCATCCTCTCCCTGCGTCTGGCCTGGCAAGAGTCTATTCAGTTAGTCCTGGTCGCTTCTTTCCTTTGTTTTCTCCCAGTTTCCAAACCAGCCCTTGGTGGCCACCGCTGAAGCATGACTGCCTGTCTGCAGGAAGGAGGATTTCCTTTTTCTTCTCTGCTGGCCCCCAGGTGCACAGGCACAGGGAGAGGGAGGACGCGGTGGGGAGGCCAGGTTAGCTGCATACTTCTCCTTCCCCTTCCTGGTCTGGTGAAGGAGGCTCAACTACAGACCCAAATTCTGCAAAAAATAAACAACCGCAAAGCTACAGGCCTGGCCCCATTCTGAAAAAGGCAGAGCTGCTGTGACACAGCCTCTTCAGGCCCCTCGCCTCTCCTGGACTGGCTCCCTCTTTGAGGAAACGCACAAATCTCCCAGGAGAGGACTAGCACCTAGACTGACTCGAGCTGTGTCTTTCAGACCAAGGACTATCGGAGTCTGTGGGGCTGCCTGCTGGGCAGGTCACGGCTCCATCAAGCCTTTGTCTGGATCCAGCCATCAAGGACTGGTTTGTGGTGTGGTGCCCAGCTCTGTGAGTGTGTAAGCTGTCTGTTGTCTCTTTTGGAAAACAAAGTGAAGGGCTCCATTGTAGAGGGCAGAGGGACTCCTGAGTTACCTGCTTCCTCTGTCTTCTTTGGCCCTCAGGGGTCATAAGAAGACCACGTAGGAAAGAGGCCTGAAGGGGACTGTCCCTTTTCTTTAAGAAAAGTCTCCTGGAGTTGTGACAGTGCTGGGGTGGACAACTGGAAGGGTCTGTCCACGTGGCCATCCTGGGGGCTGCTAAATCACCTACTCTTTACAGCAGTGGAAGCTGCTGGAAGGCAGGTCTGAGCCATTCACCGTGGACAGTCAGAACAGCTCTAGCCTGTGGGGTTTCTATATTTTGCCATCTCATCCAAGGTTGTGAAAGCTACCCAGGGTCCTCATGTCCTTCCCTAGAGCCTGAGTGGTAGGAGGTGACAGGTCTCTCTCTCTCTCTACTGCCTCTTTCTGGGTTTAAAAAAAAAAATGGTGCTTGAAAAGGGAAGGAAGATTCTTCCCTGGGACCGACAAGCTATGACTGCTGAATGCTGCATGGGAAAAGGGCCTTCCGCGTCTTCCGTTGGTGGCTGAGAACAGGAGCATGGAGCACTGTGCCTAGCACAGCCTAGCACATAGTAGGTGCTCAGTAAACTTTTGTTGAACCGAATGACAAAAGCATCATCGTCCCCCAAGCCAGAGAGCTGAAAGCCATCACCCAGTGACCGCCCCTTCCTCCGGTCTCCACTGCTCTCCTGGCAGGGGTAGCCACCTCTCTGCTGGCCTGAGTGTGGCAGCACAGGGAGGGAGGGGACAGGCAGATGTCAGCAATACTAAGGGCTTCCTCATGGGAGGGCATGAGGCTCCACTCATTGTCTTGTGACTTTCATCCCTGCTGAATGGGGCTGCAAAGGCCAAGGCTCCTTAGGGGAGAGGTCCTTACCTCTGATCCAGTTAGAGCAATAACCACTTTTTAAATGTAAAATAAAAAGACAAATGAAAAGGCACATCCTTGTCTCCTGGTAAATGCCCAAATGTTGCCCTCTTTTTCTGGCAATTGGCAGCAAGTCAGGATGTGTGGAGGAGGGAGTCAGTTCTCTCTCTCCATTTTGGCCTGCAGTTTCTTAGGGACATGCCTGCCAGCCAAGCTGGAGTTGGAAGGGAAATCTCGAGCAGATGGGGGTGCACGTGTAGGAGGAGAAAATAGCTGCTCCATCATCCTATTACCCCACCCCACCCCCAAACCAAGCTCTGGCTGCTTCATCACATAGGTATGCAGGCTGGTACTCTGTTAAAACAAAGGGTTTTCCCCTCTGGTCAGGGCTGGAAGCTTTCCCAGGCCAAAGGAATGCGGAGCTTGTTTCTCCCCAAGGTAAGGAGGGAAGTGAAGAGGAACTACAAAAGCTGCTTGCTGCAGCGGTGTGCACAGCGGGCTGTGCAAGGAATACCAACAGTGGCCTGAAAGCTAGAGCGATGACACCATCAGCCAGCGAGCAGGTGGCCAGTGACGCACCTCCAGTAGTCCTGTCCAGAGCCAGGAAGAGCCCTGAGAGAACACAGGTGCAAGGAGAACTGTCAGGCCAAAGGCTGTTGGGCATGGCCCTGAGAGCCAAGTGGATCTTAGAGGCTGGGTGGGAAACGGACATCAGCACACAGAATCCTAAGCCAAACCAGAGAGGTGCTTCCCAGGCCTCTGACCCCCTCTGGTGCCAAGTGATGGGGCAGCACCCACCAGCACCAGGTGTGGATAGCTATCTCTGGGGGTCAGGGAGCACCACGTAGGGGCGTTTCCTGTCTCCAGTTATCTGTGCTGGAGTCCACCATCTGAGTCTGAGGATGTGGGGAGAGGAGGGAACTCTCCTGGCTTAGGCAAACTCCATTCCCTTTTATTACCTCTGGATTCTGTAACAGTGAGCTTTTCCTGAACTGACTATCTGCACGGGAGAGCCCTACAGCTGCCTGGGCTGTGGGCCTTTCTTCGCGCCTCCCTCAGGTCTGCAGATTCCTCCTCACAGCGCCTGTGTGCATCCTCCAGACTGAGAGGCCCCAGACAACCTGTGGGAGGAACACAGGGCTGAGGCGGGAGACCCCTCCTTGCCCTCAGCAACTCAGGCCTGCTTGGGGAGTGAGTGGAGCCTTCTCAGAAGGCCCTCCTCTGTCCTCATGTCCCCGTGCAGCTGGATTTCCTTATCTGTCACTTGTAAGAACAGATCGCCTGACCCTCACCCACCACCTAGAATAGGAGCCAGAGGTTTCCTCACAGGAACAAGAGAGAAGCCCCAGCCTGAGGAAGGAAGAACTAGCGTTTCCACGGGTCAGGAAGCTTTTTTTCCTTGGAATCCTGGCCCTCAAACCCTGGATTTTCAGTATGGTCTCCTCTAGAATTCACTTTGCAGAGATGGGCAACATCTCACCACTCGTCATGTGATCTTTCAGCCTCACCATGACAGTTTTTGGATTTTGCTTTTAAGAAGTATACGCTGAGAACAAATTTTCCATAAATGGGACATCCCCACCCACAGCCCACACCAAACTTCATCAGGAAGATATCCCCAAACCCTCAAATATGACTTGAAGTTGAAGATCTTTGTTTACAAATAGTACCGTAATGATACATTTCAGGACTACCACAAGGACGCTTTAGATTCCATTCCATTCTCTCAATGGGCGCAGGGGTCAGGTTCTGTCCAAGGCATGTTCCAGTTGGCCGG